AAGAGAAAACCCACCAGCTTGAGGAGCATGAGGAAATTGTATGCATCATCCTCCAAGCAACGGGTTTTAAAAGGGTTGGAAATAGAGTGTTATTTCTTTGTAAGTGTATGCAGTAAACTAAACAGTTTGACCGAGATGTATACTGGACATTAACAGTATATACCAACCCAATGGACCCAATCATAATGACACATCCCTTTCAAATAAAATACTAAGCAAACAAAATAAAGAAGAACTCACCTAGACACGTCCGCAGGGGATGAGCTCCTCCTTGTCTACAGTTCGCTTCCTTCCAAAATTATATATTACAATTAGTCCTTTAAGACTAACTCCAATCCAAGGATGCAAATTTGGAGAAAGGGATGTTTTCCCACTTTTTCCTCTCCAACCCACATAAAAATTAGCTTGCAAATTTGGAGAAGTGGGCTTGGGAGTGGATGGATGGCAGCTGAAATGGAAAAATGCAAGGAGAAGGTGGGGACCATGCAGCAGCCAAAGCCCACATGTAGGGGCACGGTGGAGCCCTCCACTTTCCAACGACTTTTTTTTTTTTAATTTTTGATTGGTTGGTTATAAGTTGGGAAGGCAAATTTAGAAGGTTTAGGGTTGGAGCAAAAAAGTGTTTTTGGGAGGTAAAAATGCACATTTGAGAGTTTGAGAAGCTAAAAATGCACATATGGGTTGGAGTTAGTCTAACAAAGACTGACACTCTGTTCTTAAGCGAAGGAAAAGGAGGGGAAGGGAAGGAAAGGAAAGGCTGGAAAGTTGGAGACCCAAAAAACTTTCCTCTGTTTTTTAAGCCATGAACAGTGACGAGGGGAGGGGAGGGGAACAGAGAGAAAATCTCATGTGCTAGCCGCACCCCCAAATTGGAGGGAAAGAGAGAGTTTCCTCTCTTGCGTGTCCCAAACCCTCTCTTTCTCTTTACCTTTTTTATTTCTTTCTCTCTCCACCTGTCTCATTTATCTTTAATAATTAAATTGAAGCAAGTAGATATAACTTATAAGATGAAGTAAACTATGGAGAAAAAAAATATGAAAGTAGCTTCATAAAAAATATTATAATTAATGGGTAGTAAGTGATATTTCCTTTAAATTGTGTTTATTATATTTTTTTATAATAAAAATTGTTCTTCAACGTTGAATAAATTTTAATTTATTAGGATTCTTGATCAATTATTATAAATTTTATTTAAAATATTTTTTTTATTAGTCAACGGTTCATTAGTGGTTTCTCAAACGACTTAACACCGGTTAAAACCATATCATCGACAGTTAGGCTGGATAAACCTCCTAACTTAATCTAAACTGATATGCAATTTTAAACTGTAAAAAATAATTGATGTAGTTAAATCACGATTTTAGAAGAAAATACGCTACCACTTATTTTTCCGATACAATCTCTGGTGCGGTTTAGAAAGAAAGTACAAATTTAATTCACAATTCATAAATAGAATATTAACATACAATCAAATTATTTTAATCTGTCTGAGCCTTGGCTTATTGTGGGAGATTTTAATGCAATAGGAGATGTTAGTGAAGCATCTAATACTCCTGGAGTTAGTGCAAGTATGGTAGATTTCAGGAAATGGCAGTATGATAATGAGCTGATTGAGCATAAATCATCGGGGCCTTGGCTTACTTGGATTAATAAGCAAGCACGTAATCCAATAGCAAGGAGGCTGGATAGGGCTTTTATAAATTGTAAATGGCTTGACGTTTTTGGCTCTAACACAGTGGATATATTGGAGCCTATGGTTTCTGATCATTGTCCTGTGTATATGATCACTGATAGTCTGATTAAGTCTTTGCCTAAGCCGTTTAAGTTTTTCAAGTTTTGGATGCAGAATGAGAAATATTGGGAGATTGTGAAGGAAGCCTGGAATTCTGAAGTGGAGGGCTCTCCTATGGTGAGAGTCAATAAGAAATTGAAGGTTTTGAAAGGGTTGCTGAAGCAGTTGAATAGACAGGAGTATTCAGATCTTCATCACAGGGTTATACTGAAGGAACAAGAGTGGTTAGGAGCTCAGGCAAATGCTCTTCAAAGTCCTTCAAATGTCTCTTTTCAAGAAGAGGCTAGACTTGCTGCAGAAGTAAAGAATTTGAGAGATGTTGAGGAATCCTTTCTAAGGCAGAAGTCTAGGGAAATCTGGTTGAAAGTTGGGGATTCAAATTCTGGGTATTTCCACAGATCAGTTAAAATAAGAAACAAAAGAAACACCATTCGATCTCTTATCAATGATGAATGAGTTCGAATAACAGCACTGATGGTATGTGTGGTATTGCTGAGACTTTCTACAAAAGATTACTGGGGCAGAAGGATAAAGAAGTTGAGGTTTGTAGTCTTGAGGAGATGAGTAATCTCTTGAAGTCTCATGTTAAAGAGGAGCAGCATGAGTGGCTAACTCGACCTATCTCTGAGTAGGAAGTAAAAAAAAAGACTCTGTTTGGTTTTAAAGGAGACAAAAGTCCTAGCCCAGATGGCTTTCCAGCTTGCTTCTTTCAGTCTGCCTGGCACATAGTTGGCCCAGAAATCACTGAGGCTGTGAAGTACTGTTTATCAGTGTGCTCTCTCCCCTCAGATACAAATTCCCCTCTCTTAGCATTAATCCCTACGACTCAGAACCCAGAGGAAATGAGACTGTTTAGACCTATTTCTTGTTGTAATACACTGTATAAGTGTATTGCCAAGATTATTGCAAATCGTCTTAGCACAGTTCTGCCTTCCATAATAAGTAACAACCATACTGCATTTATCAAAGGAAGAGTCATTGGTGAGAATATTCTTTTGGCTCATGAGTTAGTCTAGAAATATCAAAGAAGTGGTATATCCCAACGCAGTATTGTTAAGGTTGATATAATGAAGGCTTTTGATTCTGTGGATTGGGATTTCTTGATCACGGTTTTAAAAGCAATGAATTTCCCAGAATTGTTTGTGAAGTGGATTGTTATGTGTGTGACTACTCCTAAATTGACTGTGGGGTTTGATGGTGGAATTGTGGGATATTTCTCGGCTTGCAAAGGACTGAGACAAGGTGATCCTTCATCCCCCTACTTATTTGCTGTTTCCATGGAAAATTTTTCATGTTTAATGAGTAAAGCTGTTCAGGAAGGTCAAATGCCATTCCATCCGATGTGTAAGAGATTGGGACTGACTCATTTGATGTTTGCGGATGACTTGTTGTTGTTCTCTGATGGCTCCAATCATGGGATGCATTGTATTCAGAAGGTGTTGGGGGAATTCAGAAGATTCTCAGGGCTTAAGTCTAACCCTGAAAAATGTGAGCTGTTCTATGGGGGTCTTTCTATTGAATGGCAAAAGCAAATGGCTCTTAGTGCAGGGTATAAGCTGGGGACACTTCCTATTAGGTATCTGGGTTTACCTCTTATCCCTGGTAAATTATCTATTAAGGCTTGTAAGCCTCTTTTGGATAAAATTACTGGGAGGATTCATAGTTGGAAAACAAAATTTCTTAGCTATGCAGGGCGTTTACAACTCATTATCTCAGTGCTTGCTAGTTTAACACAGTTTTGGATGGCGGTTTTTATACTGCCTAAGAGGATTATTAAGGAAGTTGAAAGGTTGTGTAGTGATTTTTTATGGGGAGTAGGGGAGGAGGGGAAGAAGAAGGCTACTGCAGCCTGGAAATATATTGCTCTCCCAAAAAGTGAAGGTGGATTGGGCATTCGTGACCTGCTAAGTTGGAATTTTGCTTGTGTAATAAGGCACATCTGGCTTATCCTCCTGCAGCAAGGTTCATTGTGGGTGGCATGGCTGCAAGAATATAGGTTAAAGCAGCATGATTTCTGGACATTCCAATCAAAAGCAGGGTCTTGGTTATGGTTGAAGCTGTTGAAGAGTAGAGATCGAATTAATCAGTGGATGTCAATGAATAATGGAGAGGTTACATGGTCTGGAAAAGTTATGCAGAGATACAAAATCCAACTGGTGTGGGAAGAGTTCAGGCCTAAGGAAGCGACTGTCCCATGGTATTCGATTGTGTGGAAAGGCCTCTCCCCTCCAAGGGATAAATTCCTTGTTTGGACGGTTGTAAAGAACTATATTGTCACCTGTGATAAAGTAGCTCGTTGGGGTGGGAGGGGTCCTCTCTCGTGCGTGTTCTGCTCCTGTTCTTTGGAGACTAGGGCGCATCTGTTTGGTGAATGTGTGGTTTACAAAGAGTTGTATGTAGGTTTGCTGGCTAAGGAATTCCCCAGAACTCCTTCTAATGATTGGGACGTTGAGTTGCAGTGGGCTGTGTTGCATCTTCGAGGAAAACAGGAGCGTGCTCAGGCTGCTAGGGCGATTTGGAGGTCTATGATTAGCTCCATCTGGAGGGAAAGATGTCGGTTGAAGTTTGGTGGGACAAGGAGAAGTTGCCAAGAGTTGATACTTAGCATTCGAAGGGATCTCTCTATTTTGTTCCCCTCTGTACTTATTGATAGTTACTGGTGCTAGTCAGTGTGTTGCCCTTGGTTCAGTTATAGGTTTTCTTTTTCGTTGTATTGCTAGGTTGAGGTTGAAAAACTCAGAACTATAGTATCTTAGTTGGCAGGGGTGTTGCCATCAGTTTTGCAGGGGTTTTTTGATGATATAAAAGCTTACCAATTCATAAAAAAAAAATTTATTTTACTATTACATAACCAATAAAATAATATATTCATCACACTTCCCAATACACAATTTCTTTCCCACTTTCCTCCATAAAACAACATTTTCCTTCCAATTTTCTCATCTTCAAATCTCCCCTCCCCTCCTAATTTTCCTTCACCTCCCCTCCTTTTCCTCCCTTCTTTCAAAAAACAGAGTGAGTGTGAAAGAAGAGAGTGGATAATGGATTGTGGCGCGGAAGGATGTGTCTGAAATAAATAGAAAGTATGAAAGGTAACTGGTTAAGGTTTCCAAAAATAAGGCCAAAACTGTAAGACACATATATCAACGAGGACTTAACCGTAAATCTCCATTTCAATATAAATAAAACGAGCAGAGCTCGAGTAGGAACAGACGGCGGGAGAAGAGAAGAGAGTACGAAGGCCATAAGCCCATAACCCTAGAGAGGTTTTAGCAGCCGCTAGAAGCTTTCGAAGCCGAGGAAAGAAAGATAGCCGCCACAGAACCGCTGACTATTACCTCCGCCGCGAAATCATGCCGAAGTCCAAGCGCAACCGTGCAGGTCTGTCTCCTCCCATCTGCGAGAAAATTTTGAATTGGGTAATTTTTTTTTGCGATCTTTGGTTTTCATTTTCTGCCGCTTGTTAAAAAAATGTAGTTACCCTTTCGAAAACGAAGAAGAAGGGGAGAGAACACAAAGAAGGGGTTGTGAATGGAATAAGGGAAGCAGTGGAGAAGTACCCTTCTGTGTACGTGTTTGGTTATGAGAACATGAGGAATCTCAAGTTCAAGGAATTCAGAGACCAGCTCAAGTCCAGCAGCAGGTAAAGACTGTTTTTTGCTTTTGTTTGAATCTTATTTGTGTGTGGACTTTGTTTGTTGGTTGTTATTGTGCTCTGTTTGTGGTGGGAAGCGAAAGTTTAATGATGATTGGTGATGATAAATCCTGGGACTTGTACTTTAATCTGGATGTCGCAGAAAAGTTCTATACTTTATTGCATTTGGAATGGAAGGGAGCAAGTTTTGAGTTCATTCGGGTGCTTGTTTCGATACTCATTGTCGTAGTTGGCTCTTATTGGGCATGGTTTCGCTTACCGGATTATTTTCATGGTGTTATTTGAACAGATTCTTCCTTGGGTCAAACAAAGTGATGCAGGTTGCTCTTGGTCGATCTGCTGCGGATGAGCTTAGACCGGGGATCCGCAAAGTGTCCAAGGTGTGCGTTTAGCCGTTATCAAACAGACTGTATTTTTTGTTTATGGTTGAGATACCAAGTGAAAAAGAGCTAATTGCTCCATGCAGTGATTTGTTATTAAGTAGTGTATATCTTTCTTGTCGCAGCTTCTGCGCGGAGATTCTGGTCTGTTAGCTACCAACTTGCCCAAAGAAGAAGTTGAAAGGTATAGATCTCTATTTATGAATTCAGAGTGTGCTCGTTCACTTGCAACTTATCTGCAATAATGAGTCTATCATGAGAATCACAGACCTTGATTTAATGGAAAGTTTAATACTACTTTAGAATGTTCAAAGAATCCTATGTCATGTCTCAAAGTTTGTTTTCAATGTTATATCCAGTTGCATGAATCATGATATTTTAGGGATCACTGTATGTAGCTTGCTGTAATGAACATTAGTTCGTCATTTGACTCCAGTACTTGATGTAGTTTGGTTTGGTCAGTTATAAATCCAGGCCTGAGTACATCAGTTAGTCATACTCTCACTTAATCGAGTCAAAAGTAGACATCCTTGGTTCTCATTGCTGCTTTGTCTTGCAGCTTATTCCGTGAGTATGAAGATTATGACTTTGCAAGGACCGGTAGTGATGCCACTGAAAAGGTCAGTTAGCATGTTGATTTAGTTTCCCATGTCCCTAGCCTTAATCTCTGATTGACTGTTGTAAACTTGTAATGCATTTATTCGAATATCCCTTGTGCTTACCTCATTTGCTAAATTTTCTGTTTCTTCTATGATTTCCATATTTAACACAAAGTTTGATTGTTTCAGGTAGAACTGAAAGAAGGACCTCTGGAGCAATTTACTCATGAAATGGAGCCTTTTCTGCGTAAACAAGGGCTGCCTGTCCGATTGAACAAAGGTCCTTACTACTTAGTAATATTTGTTTGCTGTAGGCCTGATAGTTCATTTTATGTGGTAGTAATGTGAACTTCCTCATATGAAATTATCCATATGGACTGCAGGTGTTGTGGAACTTATTTCAGATTTCGTTGTCTGTGAAGAAGGAAAGCCTTTGTCACCTGAATCAGCACGGATACTGGTTAGTTATAGTCCTTTAGTCTGTCTCACATATCTATGCTGTTTCGTACTAGTTTTCCCCTGCAATTGGAACTTGGAAAGCTTGTCACTTTAAAGTTCCAGCACATAAGGTCTCTATGATGTTGTTATCTGTGAATGGTTATTAAATAGCCCTTCATGAATATGAAGCATTATGAGTATCAAGATATAAAGCGTTACATTTCTTTGTTCAAGATGCATTTCTGATTAGTAGTTCATGTGTTGATTCTTCTCGTATCAACTAAAGTGGACTGAATGAACTTTCATCATCTTCTATGCAGAGATTGTTGGGCATCAAGATGGCTACCTTCAAGCTTCACTTAATCTGCAGATGGAGCTCTGATGATTTTGAGCTGTATAAAGAGGGACTCGATGACGCTTCCGACATTGAATCTGCATGATTTATGCCTTTTGTAGGGTGGTTAAATGTTGTAACCTTGTCAAATCTCATGGGACTGCACCAAGTGGATGTGTAATAGAAGTTCCATCTAAAACTCTTGTTTTGAACTCAGAAGTAATGCTTATGGACTAGCATTTGCCTCCTTATAGTTTTATTCTTGAATGCCAAGCTTTGAAGGTTTCCCGTTTTATGTGGAATGAAAATTGAGTACGATGCTTCCTTTGACTCGGCTTTGCTTCAATGTGATACAAAATAGATCTCCAAGCTGCGTTTTTGTAGGCTTGTGGGCGATCCTGCTTTGTTTGGCAGAGGGCCAAAAAAGCATTATTTGGTGCCTTATTATCCACATTTATAGTTTTATTTGTAGTGACATGGCAATCCCAATAATGAATATTTACCAAAACCGAAAAACAAAAGGGCAATTGACAGCAATGGAGAAAAAGATCAATTTATCCAATCAATCAGGCCAGTGTAGGATACAAGAGAAAACCCCCTGTGAATTATCCTACTACCCCCATGTAAAGAAGAAGAAAAAAAACCCTGATCACTTGGATAATTTGCTCTTCATCCTTCATTTGTTCTTCAGACATGTAAAACTCGGGTGTATCTTACATACAGCTACTTGAAACACAAGGAAATACTAATATTTCTAGCAAAAACATACCTCCATTCTCATTTCCTCTTCCTGCCTACCACCTCTCATGGAGGTGTCATTTTGGAATGGATGGATAGAGATTCAAAATATCTTACTTTTCTGTCCTCTTCATTGTAGCTCTTCTTATGCTTGAAGAACCTGGCAGTGAACAATGTGACTCCTCAGGCGATTCCTTCCGGCAAGGCTCGACCAAAGATTCGAGACCAAAGTCTTGAACTGCCCTCTACCCGAAAGAGTCTCCCACAAATGTTCAGCAGGAGCTTCCCCAAGATCTTCAGATTTCGAAACGTCGACAACTGATATACTCATGTTGTTTCTAATGATGCACAGCTTCCCGTTCAGCGGAACAAGAGCAGCTGCTTCCAAAGCGCAAGAATTCCCCAGGTGCAACTTGCTATCGATATGCTTGCTCCACGAATCAGTCTCTTCGTCATAAACCCTAAGCTTGCAGCCATCCTTGCAGTCTAACGCATAGAGGTTTCCGTTCAAAGAAGCACTTGGGTTTCTCCACCCTGCCACCATGCCATCATAAACAGGATACCAGCTATCAGTTCCGGGCTGGTAGACTTCACTCAAAACTTGTCTGTGAGTCCCGAGTCCTTTAAGATACCACTTGCCCTCATAAACTACCCCAATGAATGGCACCATTGCTGTACTCATATCAGAAATCAGTGACCATCTGTTCTTATTGGGATCATAAACCTCAGCTGATCTCAATGGACGGTGAACACCCTCATTCTCCCCACCTGCTACATACAAACAGTTGTTTATAACACACGAGCCAAAGAAATGCCTTCTTCTGAGCATGTCGGGTGCACGGTGCCACTTATTAGTTCTGGCACTGTAAAAGATGACCCGTCTCATTGATCCCTTCAAAGGGTCTTTACCGCCAAACAAGTAGAGATTACAGCCACTAAGAACAGCTGAACCAAAACCTAGGGCTTCAGAGTATTCCTTGGGGACAGGTGGAAGTGGCTGCCATAGCTGATATATGGGATCAAAAGCATGCCAAGAAATTTTCCCATCTCGGTCTCTCTTGATCACGTATACCCATTCCTCAGAGATCTCGAGATTCTTTCGAAGCGAGTAGAAGAAGTTTCCAGATAAGAGACGGTACCATCTCTTGCATACGAGTCGAAGCTTTCGATGCTCGGCCCTAGGTACTCGGATTAAGCATGCGATGGCGAGATCATCAGGGAGTCCTGGGAGCAATGGGGATTGATTTCGGTTTCTATCGCCTCTTGAGGGTTTGTGTCTAGTTGGATGGATTGATGGTCTGATGTCTGGCTGAAGACATAGCTTGCTACCTGGGACGTACTTTTTCGCACCTGCCACCGTTTTGAGTCCTGCATCTACTCTACATAAGCAAGCTGTTGTGTCAACCTGTTGAAATTACATTGATACCAATATATGAAATTCGTCAGTTAAGCTTTATATGGTAGAGGATGTTACAATTAGGAGGGAAGAACAAGCTGCATGATTTCATCAGATTGGTGAGTTAGTCCTCAGCAATTGATCAGCATCTCTAATTCTCCACAAAGGTGTCATATAAAGTCAAACAAATACAAAATGATTCCTTTTCCCATTGAAAGAATTTCCCTTTGAGATCTCAAACTGAAGATCAAACCCCAAAATCCTAACACAAGAAATGCTCAACTGAAGTCATTTGCATACAGGATGAGCTGCTGCGCATCAAAAGACCTTAGAATCCTCCACTAAATACATTCCAAATGGAAGGGTAAACAAAAGGGGAACAGCCTAAGATTAGAACTTGTTAAAACCAGTGAGTATGCTGAAAAACAAAGGGCTTAGAATGAGACTTACCAAAGGAGGCTGGTTCATTCTCTCCGCATCTCTCATCCTCCAAGGATCCGCCATGGCCAGATTTAACTTATGTCACTACAGAAGTTCACTCCTTACAAAATCAGAAGGGCACAATCTAAATCATGACGCCCCTCACTCACTGCTGTTAAAAACACAGAATTCAGAGGAATCTAAAATGCATGAATGATGAAAGCAAACTCTGACCAACTCTTGGAACTCGCTTTCAATCTACACCATACCAGCCCTTCCTTCTCTCTCACACCAAATCAAAAAAAGACCCCAAATTCACCTCCAACCAACTGTCACAAACTCGGAACCAGCTCCAAAAGTGACACTTTGAGGTGCTATCGAAGCAAACCCAGGTCCATTCCAACATCAAAATCAAAACCCATCTCGCAAATTCAGAGAATTGACCGCAGGAAGCGAAGGGGAGAAAGGGAAGCGAGAAAAAGACTCCGACTTTATCTTCTGGGGAGACAACCCAAATGCGAGACAGCAAGAAGAATTAAGAGCAGAGGCAAGTCGTAGGGCAAGAGCATTTGAGAAACAGGAAAACAGATGGAGACCCTTCTTTCTCCATTACTTTTTTCCACCATTAAAAACACCCCCCAAGTTTGTCAAAATGAACCGGCCCCGACCAGAAGGTCCGACCCAGACGCCATAGAGGTTCGAATTTCTAGAAAACCAAAGACTAAACTAATCGAACATTCGGAAAAGGTACCAAAAAAAAAAAAAACGGTGGCTTTGACCACCGCGGTGCCGCTCGCCGGCAGGGGGAAAAAAAGATCCCACGGCGGCAGGTGGAAGAACTGAAGAAGGGAGCTACGATGGATGGTTTGGATTAGGAGTGGAGACTGAGACAGGGTTTGAGTAGTTATTAGGTGAGAGTTGAGACAAAGGAGGAAGGAAGGAGATCATGGAGGGACGGTGGGGAGAGAAAATGAAGGATTTTCTTTTTTTCGTTGCGAATTATGATAAGAGACCATTTTTAATTTTTATCTCCCCCTTTTGTTGTCGTGCATAATAATACTTTAAAAATTTATTTTGTAAGAAGTTGGGAATACTGAATATTAATAGCTTGGGTCCCCATTGTGATTAATGTGTAACACCATGTGAAAACCTAACACCTAACTAATTTTGTGTACTATATTTGTTTGAGTTGGTCTATTCTATATAAAGAAAGGAGTTAAGGTTTTGGAATGGGAGACTTTGAGGTAAATAAAAAATGTAAATCAACGAGACAAGCGACACTGAGTTATAAAAGTTTGCGATAAGAGAAAATTCTATACATAAAATGGGAGATACCATAAAAATTTGGAGCTATGTAGACGGTGAAATTTTCAACCATTCAATTTCGTGATTCAATCAACTTATGAGTCGTGATAACATAGCAAAAAGATGGAGATCAGATTAATAGATTGAAAGAGTTTGATCATCACATCGATCCAATAGTACATTGATATGATCAAGAAGTCGACATTGCATGAATAAATAAGAGATCGCCTGATTTGATGCACACAAATTAAACCCCTAACTCCCATGTCATTGAGACAGACACATCTCGGGCATGAACTTTGGGGGACTACAAATTGTCACTCGATATATTCTACCAACTAGGCTAGTTAACAAAACAACCATTGCAAGGTTTTCGAGTTATAGATCACTCGAAAAGCCTTACGTTGTGACAATGTTATTATGATTGTATAATTAGGGAAACAAACATGTTATTGCCGATCGTGGTCCATTATGCCTCAAGATTTCATCGAAATATTGAGTCAATGAGTGAACCACACCAGGAGGCATAGTGTGGGAAGAATCTCGTATAACAAGCACTCTTCCTTACCAGTACTATCCAACCTGTTGATATGACTTGAATTAATTGGATAATTTGTGGTCAACTAGATGTTACATGGATCTCGCTGTGCATGGTAGGGGTGGCTATACGGTCCGGTCCGGTTAAATTGGACCAAATTGATTCGGTCTCAGTCCGGTCTTTTCCAGAATATAAGGACCAAAGATTGAATTGGATACAGTCCGGTCTTGATCCGGTCCGGTCCCAATTTTATCTTGATTTTAGGTGTTGGGGGTCTCTTATCCGGTTTTTTACCTCAAATCTAAGCTTGAATATGAGATTGCATTGTTTGCTATCCGGTTCCAGTCCGGTCCCGGTCCGGGTTATACGGTCCGGTTTCGGGTAAAACCAAACAGTCCGGGACCAAATAGCCAGCCCTAGTGCATGGGCTTATACACGTTTGGATTTCTGTTATGGACCTGGTCTATAACATTATTATTTACCATATTAGATTAGGGTTAGATCGATTGGAGAAGTACTATATTTATTTCTCATATCCCTCTGTAATATGTAATCTCCTCACGTATGATGAACCTTACTCTCTCCCGCTCGTGAAATAACTAAGACATTATGTTAGTGAACCACGTAAATCTATGTATTTTTTACCATCTTACTATAATTATCTTTATTACACTGTTGATTATCCCGATTTGTTCTTTAACACAACCAAATACTTGGTTTTTTCAAATCTCTACTTCCAATCAAACCACTTGGGATTGTGAAGAGAAAGGACAGCCATAGCAAAGCTAAACCATTGCTTTTCATTTTTTCTATTTTGGAGGAAAAGGTCGAAAAAAGTACAATTAACAAATCCACGATAACAATAAGACTGTGAGATTGGCAGATAGCTATTTGTTCTCTTCCTCACAAAATCACCCTCTGTT